TATGAAATTTTAAGACGAGCCCTTTACCGTTAGCTCTCATGATCTTAAATTATATTTAACGATATTATTATTAGTTCAAATAATCATCCGAAAGAATCAAAAGTATATAAATTTAGAATCCAAGTAGTATTCATTTTAATTAGTAGTATTGACCGTGTAGTGGCGATGAAGGAATATCCACTACCTCATAACTAAGAGACGATCTTAGGTGTCGCATGAGGCGACGGAGGGAAAAACCAGAAGAGAAAAAATAAAAACAGCAGTTGCCAACCCGTCTGCTAAGCGCGGCAACTGTATCAAGTATCCAGCCAGTAATCAGGCAGTGATTTTTATCTTTTAGTGTACACTTTTCGTTCCAATGTTCCAAATATTAAGATTTAGTTAATTAAAATTTCAATTTTGTACTATTAAATACACGACATGAATTAAGACCGATTTATACTTCGACAAGTACAGTAGCGAGTTAACTTGCAAACCTGGCGAGTTAAGTTTGAACCCCGTTTCAACGGCAATAAGCGATTTAAATAGCAAGTTAACGATTAAGTTGAACGGGATAGCCGGCCGAGCTATTTTTCGGCGAGTTAAGTGCGTAGTGGTGCCCTCCCGCGCGTCTCCCGCCACCCGCAACTAAACTCGCCGCGCGTGTGAACGAGCGAGTTTAGTTCAGTGCATAAGTTGGCAAGACGCAACGTTTGCGCGCCAAAACGTACAATTGTACTTTTATAATTAAACTCGCGACAAAGTTTGTACGATACTGTTTATTAAATATTTATCCGTTTTATATTGAGTTTTAATAATAAAATGGACGGAAGATATCACGTATAAATTCGTACAGGAGTATTTAGAACACGAACGTTTTTATAATAGTAGAAGTTCAAATTGTAAAATTAAACCTGCTCGAGATGCTGCACTCATGAAATTCTTAAAAACTTCTTTAACAACAACCATTAATACTTCTCTGACCAGATCATTTAATTCTTGACGTAATCCTAGAACCATCTTAAACGAAAATCGGAAACATTCTGTAGTCTTGAAACGTCATACTCCAACGAACTCTATGAAATGCCCTTAACTAAACTCGCCACGAAGATATTTAACGCTACTGCCCACTTAATTTATGTCAACTGCCCTGTAACTAAACTCACTACTGTACTTGTCGAAGTGTAAATCGTTCGTAACATTCTTAATAAATGTTCACAGTTTTAGTAGTGAAACTTGTTTCTTGTTCTAATGAAACAACATCTTATGCATTCAAGTATCTATTGTTTTAAAAATGTTTATTCTACAAGAAACTTTAATCTTAAGATTAGATTCTTTTCTTAATGATTTCTTTATTTAACATTGCACATGTTAACTATTTTTTTTTTTTTTAATATAATCCCTAAAGTAGTTTTAATATTGATTTTCTTAAGATTTCTGTACCATATTTTGTTTCTCAATAAACATTATTATTATTATTATTACCATTAGTGATAATTTATGGGGGAGGCCTATGATCAGCATTGGATATTGATAGACTGTAACGGTACGATAACGGTAATTTAAAAATAACAAATTATTTAATGTGATATTATAATATTTTGTTATTGTCTAGAATTAAAGCCGTGGTAGCTCAGATGGTTAACGCTCGCTGTAAATATAACAGAACGCGAGTAGCCCGGGTTCGATCCCCGTCGGCACCAATGAAATTGTTAATTGCAATTTTAAGTGCTGATTTACCACGTGCTCGGCGGTGAAGGAAACATCGTGAGGAAACCTTCACGTCTGAGGAATAAGAAAAAAAATATTTTGCAGACATGTGAAGTTCGCGAATATGCATTGGGGCAGCGCGGCGGACACTTCCTTGCTCTAAACCCCTCTCAGAAATGAGGGGAGGCCTGTACTAAGCAGTGGGACGTATATAGGCTGTAACTTTACTTTTTTAATTGTCTGGAATTAACATTGAATTAATATTATTACAATAAGGTAGCGAGTAAAATTGTAAAAATGTAAATGTTAATTACTTATAACATAATACTACTTTTAATAATTACCTACTGTTACAATCATACTTGATGGTATGTGTATGCTGTGGGCCATACATACTTACATCTATCCTCGATTAAAAACCGAAATACAGAAAATAATGTCATCACTGGAATGCCTTTTTACAGGAAAATGGTAAATAAATAAAAAAAATTATAGAGTAAGGGTGACGAACGAGCACACAATCCACCTGATAGTAAGTGGATGCTGTGGCTCATAGACATATACTTTTATCCTCGATTAAGAATCAAAACGCAGATACGTTGTCACCCCTGAAGACTAAGATGGAATGCCTCGTTTCCAGTAAAAAAAGGGTCTCCGGATCTCTACACCATACGAAACACAGCAGTATTAGGCTGCTATTTTACGCTGGTATTCTATGAGAGCGTGGACCTTCCTCGGTTGAGCCGACCCATTCGTGCTACAACCATAATATAGCTGCAGCGTGGCTCTACCACGTAAAAATAAGTGGACCCTGCAGGCAATATATATCATTCTATGTTGATATAATGTTACATGTTATTTTCTGTAGGCTTTCGTCTAAAGCCTTTTCCCGATTAAGTTGATCTAATCGGGCTGCAGGAATAATAGCTGCAACATGGCTTTATTAGAAAGTAAAAAAATTCGGAAGTGAAGCATGTAAAAATGAGGTCATATTAATCTTTTCAATGTTAACATTATCTATAGGTAAGCAAGATAAAAAATTAATTTATGGTTTTTACTTCATTCTGTATTATCTAACTTTAAATCCAATAATTAAAAAAAATAGCAAAGTCTTAATCATTGTCAAATAAAGTAGTTGATATATTTTATTGAAAATTGATATTAGTTGCTTCACTTTTTGCCCTATTTATATTAGCTTGACCTGTATATATATAATATTATAATATAGGTAATAAAATTTTGTAATTAACTTTTCAGCTCAGAGTTTTCTCCTACTTTTAGACGTCGTTTTCTAAATAATCTGTTATTGGCATACGTAATAAGAACCGATGACAATACCATCAATTTCTGACTATGACCTAATGTTCTTACTAGGATCATCACAGCTCATGATGTTCTTGATGATGATGATGAATGTGTAAGAAAACTTTAATATTATTTCGGGTACTTAGCTTATTTTTTCTATATTTTTTTAAACGAAACTTTCTCATAGTCCCCAAAGTGGTTTTTTTATTCGAATCGCCAAAAAAAGATATAGCGTGTGCGTGTGCGTGCGTGCGTGCGCGCGCGTGTGGGTGTGTGTGTGTGTGTGGATGTGTGTGTGTGTGTGTGTGTGTGTGTGTGTGTGTGTGTGCGCGTGTGCGTGTGTGTGCGTGTGTGTGCGTGTGTGTATGTGCTCGAGTGCGCGCGTGTGTGCGTGTGCGCGTGTGTGCGTGTGGTTTTGTGTGGGTGTGCGTGTGTGTGTGTGTGTGTGTGTGTGTGTGTGTGTGTGTGTGTGTGTGTGTGTGTGTTGTGTGTGTGTGTATGTGTGTGGTGTGTGAACTTAAATTTTCTGTGAATTGAAACCGAATCGTCATGGTAACTTCTGAGAAAACCTCGAAAATTCGAGTGTCTTTAATTTTCAAAAAGTAGTTTTCTTGGACCGACAACCTTGTTTTGATCAAGTCTATAATATTATAAGCTCTTTTATTCGTTCGAAAGATATCGTTGTCGAAAGAAATCTCGACAGTGTTTTTCAAAATAACTTGAAAACTTTCCGTGAAATCAATGTTTTTGTAATAAGCTTTTTTGTTAAGCTGAAAATTTTGCGTCAATTGCCGTAAGTGACATCAAAATCGGTTGATTTGTTCCTTTTTTTTTAAACTGAATATTTATTTATTCAGTTAAAAAAGGTGCGGTTTTCCAAAATTATGACTTTTTTGGCTTTTAGAGTTCAAAAACGTTATAATAAACGAAATTTCAAACGCTTAGATATTAAGTCAGTCTGAGTCAGTCAATTGGTGACAGTATTGAATTTTTTCCCGCAAGAAAATTAGAAGTCGGTAGGTGCAAGGTATCTTGGACACCGTCTGTTGTGCAGTATGAGGTCGCGCGTTGTCGTGCAGGAGCAGTGGGGCCGAGCAATTGATCAAAGCTAGTTGGAGACGTGCAAGTTTCTCCATCATTGTGTACAGTTCTTCAGAGTACACATCTGCAGGAATGCTCACACCGTTTGGTGAGCAGTTGTGATGAATCACACCGGTGCTACAGTAAGTTTTCCTTTAGGGCATTGTTTAAAACGAGGATCCAATCAACTTGCTGTTTGCGACCTTCATATAGAATCCATTTTTCGTCGCAGGTAACAATGCGGTTCAAAATTTCTTCGTTTGTTGTTGAGCAGTGCAAGACACGTCTCGACGCGTACTTCGCGCTGGCGATCGTTGAGGTCATGGGCACCCATTTGTCAAGCTTTTTCGAAAGCCGCTACTAATTCAGCCGTAGATTGAGTATCATAAGCTTCCACAATCGCCATTATTTCGTCATTGTCTACCAAGGTTTTCGAACTATCCAAAGAGTTCATTTTCAGGTCCAAATTTCCAGATCGGAAGCGGGAAAACAAATCACAGGTGATGCGTTCGTTTATACGTATTCGCTCCGTTAAACGTCGTTGATGTCGCGTGCCGCTTGTGTCGTGTTGCTGCCGAGACGGTACTCATATTCCATAACTCTAATTTTTTAACGTATCCGTGATGACGAAAAAGTTTCAAATACGATGAATACGAACAAATGACAAATTTTGTAAAAAAAATCGTGTTTTTAAAATAAAATGAATTTGAAATTAGAATTCTTAGCCAAAAAAAAATATTTTGATTTTAAATGGCCAGTACTGCAGAACAGAAAATAGGTTATAAATAACCTATTGAACTAAAGGTAAAGACGTATTATTAGGAGGGTAGTGACAATCGTAGCTTGAGCCGCAATAAATAAGAATAAAATTAAACCTTTGAAATGAAAGACATGGGTTATTTAATAAGTAAATAATAAAGTACAATATGCACACGACGCTCAAAGAATTTATCGATAGAAATGGTGGGAATGGTGGGAAGTGGGAATGGGACATGTATGTAGAACATACATTCGTTTCTTTTTTAGATATTCCGGCCGACCAAATTGCAGCCTTCGCGAGGTTTAAGCCCGAACAAAAACTAGAGAAGAACGGCGATTCGTACACATTGACAACTATTATGCCTGATCAGACCAAAGTTCTCACCTTTAAAAATGGAGTAGAATTTGATGAAGAAGTGACAGCTGGACGAATTGTAAGCAAATATTTAAGTTTCATTTACCGATTATTTGTGTCAACTTTATAATATTTATTTTTTTATTTATACTTTCTGACATGTAACACTTTTATATAGCTGTAAACTTCCCAAGAGAAAATATTAAATTTAATTTCCTATTGATTAGCAAAATACCTCTGACCCGGGAAGAACTGGAAATAATATTTGTTTTATTTCCTGAACTTGAAAAAACACATTTTTAAAGTATGCAATATGTTACAATTATTAATTATACAAATCATAGGTACTAAAAATAGTTTAGTAGTTATCAGCTCAATCTCAGGGGTTATCAATGTCTTAAATATTGTAAGCCTTTTTTATGCATTCTCTTATCCAAATACTCAAACGCTACTCAATCTCAATTACAATCACTTTTACTGAAAGTGATAGAAGCAGCACGAGAACCAAAATTCAGATGTGTTGTCACTCCTGCGGGCTAAGGTGGAATGTTAGTAGTAAAAAGAATATTCGGTTCTCTACACTCAACATACGCAACACAACAACACTAAGCTGCTATTTTACGCTGGTGTTCTGCTCGGTTTATCCGACAATTTCCTGCTGCAACTATAATATAGCTAGAGCATGGCTTTACCACGTAAAATGTAGCTACCCTCATTATTCTGATGTAGATGTTGAATTCTTAGGCCACGTGTAGCATTTAAAATAAATCCTATGAAAATAGCGCACTATGAGATAGGCCTATGTTAAGTAAAATATCACAGGCTGGCGACAAATATCACAATGTTATAGTCAAAATAGGTTCAATAGGTAATCCTACAACGCTGCAGTTATTTTATGGTTGTAGCACAAATGGGTGGGCTCGACGGGGGTAGGACCACGTTCTCATAGAATACCAGCGTGAAATAGTAGTTCGAGTCCCCGAAGAGGTCACAATTTTCACGCTGTTCGGATCGGAGACCCTATTTTGATAACGCGTCCGCATTTTGATTCTTAAAACAGGATAAATGCAGATGTCTACGGGCCACAGCATCCATTTACCATAAGGTGGATTGTGTGCTCGTTTGTCACCCTTATTCTATAAAAAAATCTATGGAGAGCAAATTAATATTCTTCAAATCTTGAATTTTTACATAAATTTGAAAATTTAAGTGTTATTTTATCTCTTTTGTTGCATTTGATTACAGGCAAAAACCACCTTTACTTTTGACGGCAACACTCTCACACAAGTTCAAAAGCACACTGATGGTAACGTTATAACACAAAAGAGGGAGTACTTCGACGATAAGCTTATTGTGGTAAGTATTCTAGATGGGGTATATGCTTTCTCATTAATCGTATCTTAGTAACAAACGCATCCGTGATGTCCCAGGGGCTAAGCGATTATCATATATTTTCTCTGACTTTTTCGACCACAATAAATGTGAAGAAGATTTTAGTAAAATCACATCCATTTATAATATAATATTGAAATAAGTTTTAATATTTCTTAATAATTTCTGACATACATTCTAATCACAGTTTATTAGGGGGTAATCTGTGATTCTAATGCATAGACCGCATAGATTACTATTATTATACTGTAGATTCTACTTTCACGAACACGCAGGCATGCAAAGATGGAGGATACTGATTTTTTATTTAGAAATTAGAAAACTCTCAAAATATTTTGGTTAGTAATAAATTATCAATTTAAACAGATATTTTAAGCATAAAAATGACAGACAGTAACGATTTTACAACCATCAACCAACAAGCGGTATTTATTACAATAATGGCAGTTGATTTTCACTCTTTAACAGCTTTATGAAAATAATAAAATATACCTAGGTCTACATTATCTGTAGTCTACATTATCTGACCTAGTCTAAACATACCTACTTTTTCCAGACTCTGACAAGGACAAACTGGGATGGCATTGCGCGTAGATACTACAAAGTTTGAATGTAATTTACTTATGTATTTTAATAAAATAAAATATTATTGAAAATATATATTTTTTATACAAATGTTAGACTTTTATTTACAAGTTAAACTGCCGTCGGTCACGTTTTAAATGTAATACTTCGTACAAAGTGACTGACACGACATTACAGTACTGTTTACTGGCGATATTTGACCAACATCATTGGCCCTTATTGGCAATATAGATTTTTTTTAATATCGATAAATTTTATTTGTTTACATTGAGCTTGGCTTGACTCCAGCTCAGACAAGCGACATAAAATTCCATAAGTGCAGTTCTACCCGTCATCAAAATAAATTTGTACTTGCCTTTAATGAAAATTCGATATCTTTAATATTCACAGTACCTTTTCTCCAAATTTTATTTCGTTTTTGCGAGTGATTAAAATAGGTAATAACAATTTTAATATCTCCAATATTGATGCTAGTTTAACAAATATTTTTTATGTCCTTATAATATAATAATAGAGTCATGTACTTCCGAACTTTGGGGTTACACATCATTTTGTATGAGTTCCTATTTTAGTTCTAGGTAGAGATAGAGTAACTTCGTCGGTTCGGTGTGCCGTTTGGCACAGGCCTCCTCCAACTGCTTCCTGCTGTTTTCTTGGATATTGTCTGCTGCTACCCTTGTCCAGTATGGTCCCAAGATTAGGCGGATATCGTCTTCACATCTTCTGATTGGGCGGCTCTGTTTTCCTGTTTCCTGTACCATAGGGTTACCTGCCTGCTCCATTTAATGTTCTTGCAACGAATCATGTGACCTGTTCAGCCCCATTTCAGATGGTCGAATTGGGTCAACGTGTTATCAACTTCGGTTCTATTCCTTATTTCCGCGTTGTCAACTGTATCCTTTGGTTTTATTCCTAACATACTTTTCGTTTTTTTTTCGGAATTTTCTCCCACTTATTTTAATTGAACTACCACATCTTACAACCATATGTGCTGCAAGGGAGAATTGAGGTGTTAAATGTTATCTTTATGATAGAGCTCTTTACTTTTCATTATTTATTTTTTCCAGCCACTAGCAATTCTTTTGTTTATTTCCTTAGATGTTTGGTCATTAGGGACAATTACTTGACCCAAGTCCATATACTCTCGCACATATTCAGTTCTTTTTCCATCTGATTCTATGCAAAATTATACAATATGTTACAATCCATCACTTTTGTTTTTATTGTGATAATTTCGAGACATACCTTTTTGTTTCTATTGGTCAGAATTTGTAACATTGCTTGTAGTTTACTTATCGTCAGCAAACCTCAAATGATTTAAAAGGCTGCCATTGATGTTGAGACCATATTCAGCCCAGTCTAGTCTTCTGAAGATATTTTCCAGCACAGCAGTAAACAGTTTGGGGGACAGTGGTTCTCCTTGTCTGACACCTTTGTTAATGGGGAATAGGTCTCCTTTCGATTCCAGTTTGATACGGCTATTAGTCATGCTGTAAATGTTTCTGCGTATCTCGATATAGGTAATTTTACACTTTTTGGCACCTTAAAGTTGACCAAATGTGATTAAGTTTCAGACTGTCAAACGCTTTCGAATAGTCTATAAAAGCTATTTTAGCGGGTTTCTGGTATTCGTTACTTTTTTCCAATATTTGTTTGATAGTGTGAATGTGACCAATTCTGCTGTAGTTTTTTCTGAAACCTGCCAGGTCTACAGGTTGATTTTCGTCTAGGATTATGATTTCTTAAATTTACGCGAACACTACACATTGAATATAACTAAATTTACGGATTCTATCGCGTTTATTTAACTTTTCGTCTAGGATTTTTGTAATTTTTCTAGCAATACTTTTAGGAATACCTTATAGAAGTTTGAGATCAGACCAATTGGTCTATAATGTTCAACTCCTTCTTTAGGCGCCTTTTTATGTAGGAGAATTATGTGGAACTCTCCCCACTGATTTGTAATGACGCCCAATAGAAACAGAAACAGAAACTTTTTTAATCAATGTAGATTATAACAATTGTTACGGCCTTGAGTTACCCCGACAAAGGTCGATTGAGTTAGGGCCCACAGTAACCCAATTCGATGAGTAACAGAGGGGAGGGTCCAATGACCTATGGATAATTAAATTATAACGACTAGATACGCAAACACAAAACTTACCGAATTCCAGAAGTGTAGGGTCTACCACAAGGTGGCGTCAGGGGCAAGTAAATGATAGTGTGTGTGTAGTGTAGGAAGGTGTGTCTAGTGTAACCTGACGTCACCGATACAATCAGATAGCAGCACCACGTGCGCCAACCGCTCTACAAGACGCCCACCGCTATCGGAACTCAAGTCCAGCGTCACTTAGCACGAACTATAATCGCGCGCGATCTACACCCGGCTCACAAAGTTCAGCGTTCCACACGAAAGCAAATTCCTCGTACAATTTAATTAATTTATTTTAACCTTAATTAGCTACACAAGTCACTCGTCGATGCAAATTAATAGCAATCTAAGTTAATTCAATATTTCAAAATCAAAAAGCCTCGTTGTCACGTATATTAACGACAAAATACAACACCATGGAGGCCGTCTATAGGTGACGCAACAATTATATCAAACCTCGCGACCTCTAAATCGACCCGGTTCTAGGCTAATCTCGCGAACCCCACCGGCGCGGTCTCACCGCTCAAAGATTCCTGCCGACTGCCAGGCTCAGTCGCTGGCAGCGCCGCATGCACATAGCGAGCGCCCCACCTCCCACGCAGCTCTAACCGGTTCCTCACCCCGCTCGAGACGCGCGTCCCGCAAGCTGCAGCTTGTAACAATTGGGCGTAAACAAACCCCCGTCCCGGACATAAGGACCTATGTCCGCGAGTAAATTGGCAACCGGGATAGGGTCGCGACGGCACGTTGCAAGACCGAATCTGCAACCAAAACCTCGGCCACTAACGCGACGGAGATGCGCTCTTGCAACCCCAACCACCGCTTCAAATCACCGCCCTAGCGTGGGCAATCCGGAGAGTCTAATTTCTCCTGGATGCCCTTCCAAATACAAATTACTATTTATCAAATTAAATACAAATTACACTACACAATTAATTTAATTAATACAATTACTATTAATTAAATTAAACACAATTACTACACGCACTACTACACTACAGTTGGTCAACAAGAAGACGTTTTGGGTGCTTTCCAGCACCCATGGTTAAAAGGAACTGAGGTGATTGACGTTCTGATGTCAATGTTAACCCGGAGTACCTTCAGATTTTTAATTATTACTTTTGATCTGATCTACGCAGAGTGAACCTGCTGTGTCTTCAAGTGTTGCAGTGATATGTTTGGACTTCGTTGAAATTTTATAAATTACAGGATCCCAAGTCGATGGTAGTACCCAGCTTCCTTCTCTATTGAAATTAGGATGCTTTTTAATTTCAATAGCCTCAATAAAAGTAAAGTAAAAAATTGACTTTCAATAATAATTACTCTCTCTAATCTCTAATCTATATTCAATAAAAAAAATATCTATTCTATTCTTGCTAGGAATCAATGTCGCTTCGTAAGGATTTGTGCTCGAGTCAAATTCGATGTAATTTCAGGGGCCGTCTAGGATATGATCTCAAACTGCAGACTTCCCCTAACGTTGGTGCTTCATGTGAGTATTTTTTACGCGGGTTCTAACCAATCTTTTGGTTTGCCCTATATATGAGAGAATACATTCACAACCAAGCTTGTACACTCCTGCATCTTGTAGAGGAATATTATACACTTGAAGGATGGTAAGAACTAGCCAATCTTTTCTGTGACTCCTCTGACATGTTGTAGTACAGCAGGAACACGCTCGACTATGGCCTGCTAGACTCGGTCACTGTGACGTAGGCACGGGACGTGAAGCTTGCTGTCGTTCAAAACCTACTTGTTTTGCTAAAGCTTGGTGGCCAGGTTTTTGCTGTCACAGATCCCTCGTGCCATCGTACAGCATTAAATAACCACTTTTACGGATTTTATCGCGTTTAATTTACTTGATTTTAATACCTGATATTTTGGGTGCTTTCCGGTACTGATGATTACAAGGACCTGAGGTGATTGACGTCCCGATGTAAGTCTTAACCCGGAGTACCTTCCGCTTTTTAATTGTTACTTATGATCTACAAAATCTACTAAAAATAAGACATTCGACGAAGCACTAAGATTTTAAATCAAGCAAGTAAAAAATTGTTAATAACGGTGATTTAACAAAAACGTACCGATTTATGTTTCATAAACAAAACCAAAGACAATTCGTCCAATGAATGAAAGAAAGTTTTGTCGACATTTGATTATAAGAATTGCATGAAAACTTTAGATAAACGCGAAACAACTAATTGCACTAAATGCAAAAAATAAATATTGATAAATACCAAAAACTAACAACTAAATCTAATGTCCAGCATCAATGTCAACGCAACGCAACCGTTGACCACAGATATTAATTATAAACAACGCGCAGTCTATAACCTGTCAAAACAAACTGGGCGACGCAACTGTAAAAGCATTACCGATAGGTATGAATTTTGCCATAACACCGTGAAGAATTCTTTATGAAGACATTATCTGTAGTTTTGAGGATTGTCCGTATAAAAATAATATTGGTAATGAAGATTTAGAGGCCGTATGTCAAGAAATTTCGTCTATGTTACGTCGAAGTTCAGCGCCGAAATTAAATCTTCCCAAAGATTTATATTTTTATATAGGATAGGGTGACAAACGAGCACACAGTCCACCTGATGGTAAGTGGTTGCTGTGGCCCATAGACATCTACATCTATCCTCGATTACGAATCAAACTGCAGATGCGTTGTCACACGTGAGGACTAAGATGGAATGCCTCATTTCCAGTAAAAAGGGTCTCCGGTTTTCTACACTCATCATACGTAATAAAGCAGCATTAAGCTACTATTTCACGCTGGTATTCTGTGAGAGCGTGGTCCTCCCCGGTCAAGCCGACCCATTCGTGCTACAACTATACGTCTAATATAATTGCAGAATGGCTCTACC